ATGTTGTGTTTAAGGGATTTTTCCATTATTTGCTTTTCCTTATGGATATATAGCAGAAATAGATCTTGCAACCATTACAGATAGAATGGCTGTTAAGAGGGCAGTACAATGCGGTAATGTTGAGGATGCAATCGAGAAAGTGAATGATTTGAATCCTGAGGTTTGATTCCTGCACTGAAAAATTTATTTGGTGGTCAGATTAGATAGGTGTCAAGATCTTGTAGAATAATAGCTTAGGATGAATAATGCTCTGATTCATTTGATAGATTCTTTTGGAGCACGTGCCATGAGCATGAAAATATTTGAAATCAAGTGATCGACCATTTAATTGCTTTGCTGTTTGCTTCCCATTGATGAATATCTTATTGAATTCTGTGATTATGTACCCAGATTTTAAGTGTCTTATGACATGTTATAGATCAGCTACCCAATCAAAGTTCTTCACATAAGTTGTACCTGGTGTGTCTTTGGAAATATTGTGTTCATTGAACCAAAGATTGGTGGGTAATTATGTTATTAGACGTTAGCCCTCTCTATTAGCATCTACACACAGTAAATCACTTGGCGAGTGGATGGCACAAATTCTAATGATCTATTTGGAATATAGTCAATGAGTTTATTTTTCCTTTCCTTTTATGGCTGTGATTCCAGTCCATTTGTGGTATGAGTATAAGTGATCTTATTTTTATTCTCAAATATGTATAGAATGGGAAGCTGGATTTCCAATCATTTTATCGAAGAAGAAATAATTTTATATAAAAGAAAAATTACACTTGCACGCTCAATGGAGCAAATGTCATTCACTTCTCTACCATGTCAGCTTCCTTATAAAGTTTCATATGGTATCTGGTATAGTTGGAGATTTTTTGTGTGATGTTCTTTCTCCGTTTTTTTGTTGTTATATTTCCTAAGCATCTAAATCGAATTCTCTTGCAGATATTAGATACGAATCCCCAGTTATTTTTTCATCTACAACAGCAAAGATTGATAGAACTAATTCGTAACGGAAAAGTAGAAGAAGCTCTTGAATTTGCTCAGGAGGAGCTGGCACCAAGGGGAGAAGAAAATGTACTTTGCGTGGCTCTCTGTTCTCAACTGTCTAACATCATATTGTAGCTTATTATAGATCAATAAAAAAAAAATGTCACAGTACTTCTACTTGTTGACATTTGGAATGTCTTATAAACACAAACTATGGATTCCCCTCCCCTTTCATCTGCTTTCCAAAATAACCCCTCTACTCCTTTCAGCAAAGCTTTTTGGAAGAGTTGGAGCGAACAGTTGCGTTACTTGCTTTTGAAGATGTTTCCAACTGTCCTGTGCGAGACCTTCTGGACATCTCTCAGCGCCTGAAGACAGCAAGTGAAGTTAATGCGGCCATCCTAACAAGTCAGAGTCACGAAAAAGGTTAAGATTTTTGCCATCTTTTGCATTTGAAGTACCTAGCCTGAAAACAGTATTCTCTTTCTTCCTTGATAAATGCTGCTAGATTTTTGCCGCATCCACCAATGATGCCATGTTAATGAGAATTGAACTATTAGTTAATAATACTAGATCTACAACAGAGTGCATAACTCTCTAGTGAAATTGGTGGTTCTGATTTCAACTCTATAGCAATATTTGGAGTAAGCAGGTGCATCAAAGTAGACTAAAAGAAGTCAAGATCAGTCATTCAGTTTCAACTACATATTTCTGGCCTTCAACCTGACTTGATATTGAGTTCAAATCATATTGTTGTTTTCTGTTGATATTTAGTATAGACATGGTTAACATATCATTTGGTGTCGCTGTACAGATCCGAAACTGCCAAGCTTGTTGAAGATGTTAATGTGGGCACAGGACCAACTCGATGAGAAAGCCACTTATCCTCGCATAAATGATCTATCCACTGCCATGCTTGAAGATCCTGCTATTTGAAAGACATGTCACCTCAAAAGATTTGTTAGAAGGTGTCTCAGTATATTTGACTGATACATCATGGAAGAAAAAAATTAATGTAGGTTGTGCCTAGAAATGATCATTTGTAGTTCCCTCCGTTCTTTCATCGTCGTTGTTTAAACTTTCCTCAATTACTTGACTGGGCGCCGACTGATGTGGCGATTGTATAAAAATGGTTGTTGGACTTCGATTCTTCAAGTATTTTACTGTGTGATATTTGCGTACTTCTTATAATTGGAGCAATGGATATTTATGGGTTTTCAATTTTCATTTTTCTTTTGTCAAAAATTTAAGTGAATTCTAGAGTCTAAAATTAGTGAACTTTGATTGTCGAATTCTGGCGCATTGTAAGCAGGAATCGACGCCAGTGAAGCAAGATGACATGCCACCTAAACTTGGCGTAAAAAGAGAGAAAAATTATTGCATAAAGTGATGGAAGAGAAAGGACAGAAGAAAAAGAAGGGTTCAACCAAAATCTTTTGCATTTAGGCAGTGAAAACCAAGCCGCCTGTGCAAGCTCGGAACCTTATGTTGACTTTCCAAAACTCTATCCTATTTGTAGAACAGAACATAATCGAAATCATCATCGCTCAGATTTCACCCAAAGAACATAAACCCACATGGCGGAATTGCAAGCACTGCCACAGTACTGAAGTTCAAATTTGAAGGCATCAGAATCCTCGCCCATTTTGTTGTGACCATCATCAAAATTAAGAGCATAGCTGCTGGGATCGTACTGAAACTTGAGTTGTCGCTTGCTTCCATTCTTCATAGCCTTCTTTAAGGCCGCCCTCGCCCTCCAGAACAAGCTCCTACATTGTTTCTTCCCATAAGCATTCATCCGCTCCAAGCTTCTTCCGCCTTCAAGTTTCATTGGTAAGCGCACAGGTTCTTGCACACGACCTGTTTGATAAAATTCCCCAAAGAAATGCTTGCAAATTTCTCGAGTGGTAATCAGCCAGAGCAACACGGGAGTTCAAAGGGTATCGTAAATAAGAAGAAACACTGCGCTATGCTGCTCAGATCAGGGGAGAAGCTGCATATATATGAGGATTACGAGAAAGGGTAGGAGTTTTGAAGAGAGTGGCAAGTGTAGAGCGCAAGCTTGTGTGGTTTGGTGTTCGGAAGAAGCTACAGCTACAGGTTGAGCCTTGAGGCGTCTCCAGCACAGTGGACAATTTAGCTTGAACTGGTCCACATTGGAAGGCTCAAATTCTACCATTAAGAGGAGAGAGGTGGGAGAGAAAAGGGCATGGTAGGCGCAGACGCAGTGGGCAGAGAGCCTCTCAAATGTCGTATCACTATCAGAATTTGTTGCTGCCTGGCTACTGGTATAAAGCACTTACCTTTGAAACGGTAATTCCTAAGCCAGTATAATAGGAAACCATATTCTAATGGCCATTTCAGAAACTTAACTAACCACACCGATTCTTTAGAGTTCAAGATATTTTTATTATTTTTTGAAAAAGACAAATTCTTGCATATTGTTGAATTCAGTTCTTTAAAACTTACTTCCTCGGCTTATACACGAGCACGAGCTACGGAAGTATGAAAAACTTCCTTTTCATTCTTACATGAATCTCGCTACGATTTTAATGCCTTCTTATTACACTATCAAGTTGAAGATCTATCTTTTATCTTTTGAAATGATTTCGAAATCCTCTCCTGATATTTAGTTAGATTCTTTGGATTGGGTAATCAAAATTCAAGACTTGTGTTTATAACAAATAAAACAAAATCTTGCCTCCTTTTTCTTATTTAAGATGAGTCATCTGCTACCATTTGTGCATTTATTAGGGACAATTCAATTGATGAGAAACCGCTGATTTAGAATATTTAATAGTGGGAGGTAATATTCCAATCCTGTTGCTGTGTTTGGTATCCCAATGTGGGAGTGGTGGTAGTTCACATTGAATAAGGTTGAGGGGTTGAATTATAAAGTCCCCACAGACAAAGGCTAGCAGCAATAAATGAGCAAGGGTGGCTCTTTATTCATCAATCAGCATCAATAAAATTTTCCTTGTTTTTATTTTTCTTCTTTCGCACTCCTTACTGTTTTGTCTCTAACTAAAGGCCATATGAACCATTGGAATTCTATTAAATAGATAGCCTTGTGGGGGTTTCCAAATTCATCTCTTGCTTTTCTTTCTTTACTCCGCAATTGACTCAAAAGCTTAAGGGGATAAGTTATGATAAATTCAACTCTCTATCCTGCTCGAGAATTGCATTCTAAAAACTGTTCGTTTGCTTTTCTAGTGGAAATGTGATTTTTTTTTTAATTTAGGAAATGTGTTTGATAAATTTGGAC